CTGCTGAACTAGGAACAACTTCTTTTATAGCTGGTTACTTGGTTCCCATGCTGCACAACTCAACCTTTCAAGATCTGCCGAAAAACCTAAATATCTCATCCTGCCAACTCATCCTGGCCATGCTGTTCGTGCCTCCCTTACGGTGCACAACTAACACCGGGCAGCATCCCCAGCACGGCGGTGGAACGATATCTGCAGTTACCACAAGGTGGGACCATTTTCCACAGCCTGGAAGAAATCTCATGGCACATCACAAGCCGCTGCACGCATGGCTGTCTTCTCCCAGCCCTGGAGATGCACTTTTCCTTTTCATTTCCCAGTTCGAAACGGTAACAGCAGTAACCAGACTAAAACGTCTCTATTCATCTAGTCACTCGCTGAGAAACAGGGCGATGCTCGCCACCGCCCGGTGCAGGCATGTCCGAATGCCTCCTTTACTCCTGCAACTGGGGAGGATGCGGAGCAGCCACGAGATTCCTCGGGAACCCCCAAGTTATACAAGCATGGTCCGTGGGATACCCGCACCCGAACCTACATCCCACGGTCACTGCGCTCCAACAGCAGCGCGTGGGCTGCTTCTAACAAGCAGTTATGACAAACCCAAGCTAACACAGGCTCCAAATTCTCAAATAGATAAATAAAACCTATTTTAGATAGAGGATTAATTTTAACCTCAGCAAGGAAATCATACCTGCGTATGTTGGTATCGCTCCGCTAGCATTTCTAGTTTCTAATCACCAGATACCCACTCTGGTTGCATTTTGTACAAAACTTTTGGTTTTCAACACCTGTTTCAGGGTTGAAACCTAAGGGACAATCAAATCATTTATAAACCAAGTTCTGCAGAGGTATAAGCAGCAGGGAGAGCTGGGGAAAACAAGACAAGGTATCTCTTGCAGAAAAAAGGCCAACTCAGGTTAACTCTACAGACAAATCTATATCCTGAAGCCACCGCTGGCTGAAGATAAATTCTGTTTGCATGCACACCTTGAAAAAATAATTAGTCTTCAGGGACTGTAAAACCACTGCTCCTCTAACAATACCAGGTGCACCTGGAAATAGCGTCCACAGCACCGGTTAACGTCTGTGCTGTGACTCAGATGCTCGGAGAAAGGCAGGTGCCGCTGCCTCATCCGGAGGATTCAGAAACAGAATGCTTGAGTCTAATTAAGCCCCTGGAAAATTAATCAGAACACACCTTACCTGTGCAGCTTCATAGGTGATGGTCTTCATCTCCGTGTGGACAATGGGGACTTCTTTCGTGGGAATTTCGCTTTTGACGGTGCCGGACATGTCGGAGATGGTGACTGTCTGTGTCTTCACTAGTGGTGGCTATGAGACAGGGTTAAAAACATCTCCGTAAAGACCCAGTTAGCATTTCCACATCATGACCGTGCTGCTGGCAAATGTTCTGACACTGATCTGATAAAAGCACTGTGGGAACCAAGGTCAGCCTGGAAATCTTTGGTTTTTAAGCCTCTGGTAGGACACGCTGCTCACAGGGCAGAGATCATGTGTGAGGATTAAACAGACAGAAAAATCCTCCGGACCTTGCCCGACACCGTGTCCTCAGGTCAGCCCAAGCGAGGCATTAAGGGTTTAACCGGTGTGTCACAGTAGCACAAAGAAACTGTCTCCACTGATTATTAACTTTCTAATTACTGGCAGCTCATCGCCAGCTGCCGGTAAAAGATGACCCTCATCTACTGATGACAATGTCAAGATTAAGAGGAACCCTGGGCAAATAAAGACTTGATCGCAGCTGAGCAGCTTTATCCTGACTGCAAGTGAAACACTTATTCAAAAATCCTCATCAGGTCCTAGGTCTTTAACTTTTATTAAATCAATGTCAGACAAAACAGAAACATGGCATCTCGAAAGAGAAATGGGGGGAAGAGAAATCAGTTGTTCCACCACCTGATAATCATCCAGAAGAAACCAGAGTTAGTTCAGACCCACAGTGTTTCCCCAGAGGGCTCGATCTCTGCTCACCGTCCCCGCACCTGATAGATGCCACCATGACTGTTAGCAGGGGAAGTGGGCACCTGTTTAACCGTAAGCAATTAATACCAACACTGAAGCAGGCAAAAATACCTCCCACGGTGGGGAGCAGGAAGGGACATCAAAGCCCACGCTCACGATGTAAAAGCACGTTTGACAGCGCTTCAGATTGCTCTGCTGTGCTAAGGCTCAGCCTGCTGTCCAGCAGGAAACGGCAAAAACCTTAAGGAACTAAAATTACATGCCTTTGGAGCCTAAGTATCTCCCTTTTGGGGGATGCAACAGGACGCTTTGATCAAAGAAAGGCAAAGGGCGTCGCGCTGCGGCAATCGTATTTAATGCAAAGGTAAATTGAGGGGGGCTCGTCTTTAATGCAAAGGTAGATTGA